TATGATTATTATTATTATTATTATTATTATTATTATTATTATTATTATTATTATTGTTATTATTATTATTATAAATATAATAAAGAAAGATTAAAAAGACAAAACTATTACTTATTCGTGGTAAAGATTATCTTCCATTTTTTATCATGATTGATATTTATATTTATGTATCATCGTTGTAGTCGTTGTCGCTATTTTTACTTTTTTTTTCTTAGCTCTCAGGTACGTCGTGATTACTAACAAATTTATTATTAATAATTAGATTAATTATATATATATATGTTAGACACAGACATTGTACTATCAAAGTCACTGTAAAGTGCCTAAGAAGTCCAAATATCTGTGTTGCATGTAACCTCAGGAGGATTGGTTAGTCTGTCCTGATAACGAGGGAGCATTTAATGACGTGTGTAAAGTAAATCCATCGTAAACGTCCATTAAATCTCGCATTCTATATTCTTCCAAACAAACGAATCCTTCCAACGAAGGTGCCTGTTTGCGCGCACAATCCATACAATGAACGACATGACGTTTCTCTTGTTCACGTATAAATAAAATATTAAAAACTTCAATCTGCAAAAGAAAAAAGGAATAAAATAAATGCTTAGTATATATAACCCAGTATGAACAATAATAACTTGTCAATATAAATGAATAAAAGCTTGCCAGGGATTATATCAGGGTAAACGTTTATTTAAAAGCTTTGATTGAAGACTAATTAATTGATCGAGTCGAGTATAAATAATAAATTGAATATCGATAGGTTTAGCGTTAAAAACGCGTTTCAATGAATAAATCTATTTGGTAAAATTCTTACCTCGCATTGTCCACAATAATGGGATGCTTCATTCTTTCCACGTCCATGAAATCGAACTTCCACGCCTTTGCTTTTTACAAATTCTAATATTAAACAACACTGTCTCATTGTCCTTAAGAGACAATTTTTAATCAGTTCGAAGAGCCTTGGATCCGATACTTTAATGTTCCTAGCTAAATTCCAAGATAGGTGGACCATTGGCACTATCGATTTGAAGGATTGTAATTTGTTCCATTCATAACGTTCTATAGCCAGCTGATATTGACGAGCAGTTAAAGGTCCTACATTCCAAGCAATATTATTACACCAACCTACTGCTTGCACCCAATGTACACAACCTAAGAAATAATTAATTCAGCTTGTATTACCACCATTATTTCTATTTTATTTAAATTGATAAGTAGAATTTGCAAATTAGAAAACTTGTATAGAAATAAATTTACCAGCATTGACCCAAACGAGATCTCCTGGTCTTTGCAAAAACCTATAAACAGGAATGTTTTCTTCATATAAGTCTTCTAGCGAAGGCCACCAACTACCGTGAAGGTAATTGATATTATTACGTTCGCATAGGGAACAAATGACACCCCAATAAGCATCAGGTACTGCAAACCATTCACAATCGCCTGGTCCGATATTAATATTTATTGAACAGAAATTATTATTTTCTTGATGTCCAGGTGTTCTACTACCAGGAACCTGTAAAAAAAAGAAAAGAAAAGAAAATAAATATATAGGGAGAGTAATATTAACTTTAACAAGACAATATTCCGCATACCTTCATGTATAATTGCACGGTATTCATTCCCAATATAACATGACCAACATGACTGAGCATGTTGCCAGCTGAGACAACTCTGGCAAAAGCAGGTAACTTAATGAGTTCTTGTAATTGAGTTTTCCACTTTCTTTCGTCGGACAAGTCAACATTGGTCCCAAAACGTAACATTTTCGAACCTGGGCGGCCGGAGAGGCCAAATGCATTTTTCTTTCGCCTAACAGCGCCAGTGCTATCTTTCGAATCTGAATCCGATAAGTTCGATGTATGTATACCCTGAGACTTGTCGCGTTCTTCCTTCAAACTCTCTTGAAAACTCGAAGCTTGATATTGAGCATATTTAGCTATAGTTGTATGACTTCGATGACTAATACAACCCCAAACTTTTTTCCCCACTACCGGATCCCAATTCTCATCGCTCGTCTGTTGGACTTGTGTTCTAACTTCGATACCATGATCGGGATTAGCTTCTACTAATGTTTTAGTCGAGAAAAGACCCAAATCCAATTTAAGAGCAGCCGCCAAACCACGTATTACAGCTATAGGATGTTTGAGACAAAATTCTTGCAATTGCGGACTGAATGCATCCTTCTTATTTTCTAAATAGACACTAGGCGTAGGCGGTAAGAGTTGTTCCTTGGTCAATCTTTGACTAGGAGGGTCCGGCGGTGCCGGTGGAGGTGAACGATCACTCAAAATAGAACAATTTGGAACTCCTTTTAATCCTTGGCCCTTACACATTTCGACGACAGTTTTAGAATCCATTTCTATGCTTAATTCTTGTTCCGGTTGTGACTCACACAAACTCTCTAATTTCAAAACAGGTTCTGTTCTTGTTAATAAAGATTCACTTTTATTTGTACTAGAAGTTGCCTCACATTTAATAGTTTCTACGACTGCATTAGAAGCTTTAGACTCATTTTTATCGAACATATCTATATTGGAGGTAGATGATGGTTGAACTTCATCCATCTTTTCCAGTTTGACTTCCTTTATCTTACCAGGATTTTCTTCCATATTTGATGGGGAAAATGGACCGGAACTCAAGGTACCATTGTTCATGATACCAGGTGGTTCCTCTTTGACATCCAAATCTTCAGATCCAAAATGTTTTAACAAGTCTTCTGCCAATGACGTGGCCAAATCTTTCTGAGACAACAAGGCTTGTAATTCTTGATCCGTAACACCTAAATCCTTATTTCCTGCCGAACCTTCGGGATAACTACTCGTCGTCGAAGAGATCTGAGCATAGCCTTGAGCTGCATATTGGTTCGATTGATACTGATTGAATTGACCACTGTGAGTTAATTGTCTTTGAGGGTAATTAGGATCCGAAGCAGATTTGTAAGGCATCCCAGGAGTTTGCGTGTTTCCCGTCGCGACACTATTGTAGCCTACATTTGAATCGGAAAACCCTGTTTGCAAAGCTACGGTTCCTCCTTGTTGCAACTGAAATGATAAGAAGATATTGCAAAATGATGTTAAAATAATATTAAAATAGCAAATGCTTTTTCTACGATTGTATAAAGGAGAATATGACATACCGGTTGCTGAGGAATGCCATAATTTTTGATAACACCAGGTTGTCCTGACGGCTGTCCATGAGAATAGACGGTGGGATATCCCGGTTGTCCTGGCCTAAGTCCTCTCTGAGCAGCTTGTTGCTGTTGCAATCTGATTTGTTGTTGATGCTGTTGCATCACTCTATATTGATGCTGAAGGTGCACGAGTAAGCCCTGCTGTTGTGAGGTTAAACTACTTTGATTTTGTTGTAGAAATTGCAGCATATGTAATTGTTGCATCGATAAATAAAATGGTGGAGGTCTTTGTGGAGAAGGAGGCGAAATTGAATCCTCTCCAGGCTAATAAGCAAAATGTAGCTTATTAAAATCTAATACATATGAAATATGTACTCTTTTTTTTTTTATTGGAGAAGTAAATCGTTTTACCTTAAACCTTTTTCCACCTAAATTTTGACCTTGGGTTTGAGGATAAGGCGGTGGTGGTCCGGACGGAGCTCCACCATATTTATATCCTGGACCACCAGGTGGTTGTTGTTGTTGTTGTTGCTGTTGCCTACTAGACATTTCAGCGCTTATCGGCAAATTCCAAGCTTCTTCTATCGACGGCAATTGCCGCCGCCTATAAAACAAGAAATTAATAGATATTTTTTTTATATCATATAGAATATTAATATTTATCTTCCAAGTACAAAGGAACTTTACCTTTTTTATATTAGCTTAATGCTCCTAAAAGTAACTTACTTGGCAGCAACAGAGGGCATTGGTGCTTGACTTAGATTACTTTGCAAAAAGTTTATTCGTTGTTGTAGAGATGGGTTCATCGGAGTGTTGCCACCAGACTTAGCACCACCCAGCCCAACCAGTGAACCCGTACAATTAGGAGTATTGTTGTTTCCCCTATAAAATATATAAAAGAAATCTTTGAAACGACTACGATTTACCATGTGACCAGATGAACTTTTGATTTTGTCAAACGTAAACCTGGCCTTTGACTTACAACAGCACTCTTTCCTTATCACCATCACTCGAATGAGACAGTTATTGCCTCTACTACAAAGTACAAAGTACAAGATATATAAAAAAATATTTACAAGGATATCTATTTACAAGAATAGACGGGATTGACAAATCGACAGACAATGATCGATTCAAAATGGATGACGCAGGACCTCGTCAATATTTCGACGATTTTGTATAATACTTCCCTTAAGAATTATTTAACCAACACCTTATTCCACCTTATTCCTTTGCTTTTTTTTTTTTTTTTTTTTAAATTTCTTATCTAACTATTACATGCACAAAAATACATGCTTTGTTCCCCTTTCCTCGTATACCCGCGTATACCCGTATATCCGCCGTATACTTAATACATATACGAGTACAAGAGAATAAAGTTGATATACCTTTTCTCTAAGTTTTATTTATCTACGTGCAATATGAACAATATATAGTATATTTTGTTAGGAAGCTCTGCAATAGTCGACTTTACCTAGAGGCGTTGACGTAACAAGCTAACGCGTCTTTCGGTTGGCTAACGCTCTCATATAAAATTCCCAAATTCGTCCAGGCAGCTGAATGCGATTTATCTAATTGTACAGCACATATGTAGGCTTGTAGTGCATCCATAGGCTGATTCTGTTGCTGGTATAAAACACCTATACTGCACCAGGTATCAGCGTTTCCTTCTGATTTTTCCACGGAATTTCTACAAAGGTATAGAAGATTACTAACCAAATGTTAAACTGCACCTAAATGTAGATATTATATTAAAAAAACACATTTATGTGTTAATTAATTATTACCTATAAGCAATGAACGCATCATGAACTTTTCCCGATGCAGCAAGACACCGTCCAAGAAGATAAAGACTCTGTCCGCTTTTAGGCTCAGCTTCAATAGACTTTTGTAAACAATGAATAGATATAGCTTGTTTGTGTTGTTTAGTTACTCCTAATGTGGAACAATCAACAACATGGTACATCCATCCTGTAACAACAAAATTAACGAAGAAAATCGATGAAAAAAATCGCTTTTACTTACGTACAATAGTAAAAGAAACGTGTTTAAATGTGATTGTGAAACTTTATACGTCTTGTTACATAACGTAAATTTTCAAGAGAACTACTACTAGTTTCGAAGGGATCAAAGAGTAGGGCTGAAAGAAAAAGAGGAAGCCTGTTTCCTTGAATACTACTAGACTAATAGTAAAGCGAATAGATTTGTTCAGGTATAGATTTAGGAGGGTACCTTCTACTACTACTTTTAGGGGTGCTTCACTTTCTCGTTGCTTCTCTCCCTTGCATCTCCAATTACAAAACCTCTATATAAAGCATAGGCGTAGAAATAGGAGTATAGTCGAGGGAAAAAAATACAAAAAAAAAAAAAAAAAGAAGTCCTTTTCTTTACCGTTAGGGAAATGATTAATTTTTGAAGAAAATTATGATTTCAGAGATAATGAAAATATATTAAATAAAAATGAGGACAAATTGTGGTGTATTATTTTTTAAAACTACCCTCCTCTTCCTCCTCCTCCTTGTAAAAACGTAAGAAAGGAATAGGACAGGAAAATAATAAAAAAATAAAAAGTCGACAAGATCGAACACGACGGGCGATGTGGATTAATAAAATAAATAGAGAAAAGAGGTGGGAGAAGGGGAAGATCATCGAACCGGTCACGATACCAACAACACGCGAGAAGCCGTAAACAGGTTGCGAAGAGAGGAGTCCTGTACCGTTTCGGCCCAGTAAAAGGTACTCCAGCAGGTAGCTTGTGTGCTCTCTTGTCTTCAAAGTGCATCGTTCGGTGCATCGTTCGGTGCATCGGTCGGAGGGGCTGCTGCTGTTGTAGAGAGACCAGCCCCTGATGGAAACCGGCTTACTGTTCGAGCCCACGGCACCTCTTTTCTTTCTCAAATTGCTCCGTTATAATAAACGTTCGAATTTACGAGCAAGGTAATACCAATTAAGACTTATCAACTTTTCACTCTTACATATATATTACATTGACGTTACTTCTGTGAAATCTATTAATTCGTAAAATGACTAGAACTAAACTCTTAGGATTTTTACGATTTAACTGAATTCTACAAGTTAACTCTAAACATATATATATATGTATACATATTTAGTATAGAAGAAAGTTGTTGAACGCGTGGGCGAGTACCAATATCAATTGTTAGATATGAAACACCGAAAGGGCAAGTAAGGAAAAAAGGAGTCCCCCATAAAAAATGAAAAAAAAGAAAAAAGTAAGAAAGAAAAAGATGGGGGAGGGAGAATGATAGAAGATAAAAGTAGAATCACAATCTTGCCGAGGCTCGTCTATTACTTCATATATATATAGATATATATGCAGCACAGAAAGGCAAGCAGAGATAACCATACCATCTCGTGCACACAAAGAAACACGGACGCGTTTAGGTCGTTCCTCGTGTACACGCACGAGGGCATTGGTGCTCTCTCTTCATTTCTATCTCGCTTCGTTCCACCCTCCAGTACCCTTTTCCTCATACCCCTAACTCAGAATAAATCAATACACGTGTCTGCTACTTGGTGTATACTATCGTTGTTGAGCCACCTTAGGCCGAAAACGAGGAACACCATGGAGCTTGCTGAAAACCCTCCACCCTACCCCCACCCCTCTCCCCCAAAGTACTAATGGGAAGATAACGAAAGAAATCCTCTAATTGATTCATATGTAAGTAGTTAATTAAATATGTATATATATATATATATATTAAAACTCACCTAACTGACGACAAATGTCGGCCTTTAAATGCGACGGCAAAGCTTTTTCTTTGAGTAAAGCTTCGTAATGGTCCTTTGCCAGTCGATAACTCCCTTGAACTTCGTACAGGTGAGCGATATGAAATTTAACTGCAATTAAAAAAATAAAAAAAGGTCATTCACAATGAGATCTTTTATATTTTGTAGAACATACGGAATAATGAATGTATACGTTAAATTAATTGAAATGTTTGATTATTGCTGGTTAAAGAAGAGATTCTCGTTCGACCAAGTCGAGTGGTCAGTGTCGAAATGAAAACTGAACTGTGATTTTCATTCAAATATCTCTACGATTAACTATCGTAAAGTGCTATAACAATTAAGGATGCTCAACTTCCGTTTAAGAATATATCTATGATTCAAGTATACAAATTTCTTTGAAAAAAGATAAATTGGTCATTTTATTTCTCGTAAAAAATGACGAGAGAGAAAGAGAGATGGAAAATACGGAAAATTTGTCATTTCGATGACTCAACAATTTATTATATTGCTAGCGTTTAAACAGAATTACTAAATTGTCACTTAATTGTGAGAATACTTCCGTTGCAAACGAAAATGAATGTTTTCATCGTTTCATCATTCTAATATCATTTTATTTCACCGACGTTGGTATAAGTAATTTGAAAAAATCAAATCGATTACACTTTTTTTTCGAAAGATTCTTGAAACAAAATTTGTCATAAAATGATAAAACTTTGATGCAAGTGCTTAAAGTAAGACTTGTTTCGTCCATTCGTGAACTTTTGATCTATTTAAAACATTAGAAAGAGATTAGAATAAAAAAATATATATATACATATATCAGAAACAGAAAAGTATAATATAGACAAACAAACACAAGCATGAATTTGTAAGAAGATTCAATTGACGCGGTTTAAAAAGTATTTAACACATAATTAACAAATATAAGAGATTAAGGGTTAAAAAAAATGTGTCATTAACCGCGATACTCGGTGGTAGAGATATTCGATTTAAATGGCAAGACGACCTTGACACTCCCGAAGCCGCGTTGTTACGCGTTTCCTCAAAGCACTCTTCCTCTGACTTAACCGACTAACTCTCGCGTTCCTACAGAATAGAGTCATTGCCCTGAAAGCACAGCCAATGTGATATACTACTACCACCACCACCACCACCACAACCACCATCACTACCACCCGCTGTCACTATCGCGCGCGCATTACAAAAGTAGGTCAAGTTTGACGAGAAGAAAGTGATCCGAGTGATCGAACAGAGAAAGAAAATTTCTTTGTGAATTACGTTAATTTTACATTGCCTACCCCCTTTTTTTTCTCCACCCCCCCATAAGAAAAGCAAAATTATTCAATTTAAAAATGATCACGCATATTATCATATTTTCTTATAAAAGATAAAGAATATTCATGATTAAAATAAATAACATATGATTTGTTGGAATAAAAATGATTTCTAACGAAGATCATTAATAAATGATCATTGCAATAGATATCAATCCAAATTGGTAACTTACTTTCGAGTTTGGAGAAGGAAGCAGGTGTTGTTGCATCGATCAAAGCTAAGGTCAGGTGCTTCAAAGCGGCGTCGAAATCAGCATGGACCTTCAACATTAAGCCAAGCCGTAGGTGAACCTCGCAGGCTCGTGGAAAACTTGGTTCCACCCATAACACCTGCTGAAAAGCTTTCACCGCCCTTGAACATACACAACAAAATTATAAAATTAATATACTTTTGAAATTATAATTATTATTGGTTTAATAAGGTGAACATATTTTTTAGGATCAAGTTATGCTATTTTCAAAAGCCAAGGACACATAATACTTTTCCCAAATATTTGTATATATATTTGATATTTGCAGAAAATTTGAAATAATAATTCACAATTGATACGGATTATATAATGCAAGGAATAAAATCGAAATAGAATAGTAGAAAGGCTTGTTTTAATTCGTCTCGCTTTGATTTTAGTTACCAGCTTGCATTATAATAAATGCATAATAGATACTTAGTACATAATAACGCGTTGCACTTTATTTCACTTTCTCTTTATCGCGAGACTGATTGTAAATCATTAAATGACAATCATCGACAATTACAACTCCTTTCATCTACTTTTTTTTTACGTAGGCTGAGTTACACTTCCTGTCTGATTGTCATAATCAATTATACTTTTTTTTTTCGACTACTTTTTTCCAAATTTGATCAAAATTCCTAATCTAATTGTAGTTTGACAATGTTACAAAAAACAAATTAACTGTTTCAATACGAATGCCGGATATATCTGGCATCCATTATTGTTTAACATTGTTTTATTAACACTAAACCTAAACTACCGTTATATAATTTATAAAAATGCGGTATAAAAACGCATAAAATGTAGATTATTAATTTATACATAAAATCAAATATTTTGTTGGCTATCCAATTGGTTACAATTTCATTCTATATAAAGATATATGTTTTGTTTTTTTTTTAAAACGGGGTCATTCGATCACTCACGTTAAAAAATGTGTATAAATAAAGTGTCGTCAGGTTTAATGTTAAGCACAGTTCTTATTTAACCGTTTAGGAAAAGGTTCGTACAAAAGTGGATTGACAAGAACGTTGCTATGTGTGCATTTTCGGTGCGACATTTCGTAAAGCGAAAGTGTTACAGCGGATAGAACACTTGTACTAAAAGGTTTAAAGGAGAACACAAAAATTAACTCAAATATAATCCAGAATATAATAAATACTATATATATATATATATATATTATATTTGGTTGTTCAATGAATAATATTAATATTAGTATTATATATCTAGCTATAATATAAATGTTAAATAATATTTTCAATTAAAAAGAAAAACAATATTATTAATATTAATAAATATAAGTATCGTAGGAAAATTGGACATTAAAAATAACTTAGAACTTAGTTTTGATTAATTGAACGTTTCGTCCCCTTTATTGGGACTTCTTCAGCAACTTAATCTCTTAAGTTCAGCGTCTTTTTTATTTAAGCAGACATACATTCTTGTAATATTCGAAAAATGAAACATCTAAACTTCGTTATATCTTAATCCGTTATATTTGTGAACACTCAAACAAAACTGTTTATTATTAATATTGATTGAAATTGGTATCTAGACGAATAAATAGTATAAAATGATTTTTCATTGAAATAATTTTGCACAAAATGAAAGAAAGAAAACGGGGAGGGGGAAAAAAAAGAAGAAAAGCAGGCAGGGTCATTGAACGAGAAGAAAAAAAAAAAAAAGGAAGGAGAGGGAGAGGAAAAAATGGCGATGGTAGTAAATGCATTCATTCATAACAATTCCATTCATTGGGCCGTTTACTCGTCGTTTCCTTTTCGGGGTTCGTTGTCTCTTTAAGGAATGAGTCAGTATACACTCCGGCGTTATACTCGAGAGAACGAACTTTCGTGTAGTGTTAGGAAAACGAACGATGAATGAATGAATGAGTGGGCTCCTTGCAAAAGATTCTAATAATAAACGAACCGTGGGAAAGTCTATCTTTACGCATATTCTTATTCACTCATATTAGTTGTATGCATATTTATATATATATATATATATATATATATATATATATAAGGTTGGTCCCCTTATTCATATCATTTTGAAATGATTTGTTCCCGTTCCCTAAAACTCTTTTAAATACATAACAAAAAATTCTTGTAAGTTTGTTTTACCACCCTACTCCCTGTTTGTGTGTTCCCAATACTCTCCTCGACTGAAATACATTTTATAAATTGACTGAAATTTGTTAAAGACATTGTATATAAATTTAGAAATTTCCATAAATTTTTCTCACTAATCTGAGCTTAAAATAAAAGTGTTCTTTAAAAAGTCAGTACTTTAAATACATCCAATTGAAGTATATTTTATAGATTTAACATTGTATAGAATGATTGAGTAATTTATACAATGCTCGTAATATATACATTGACCGTAACATATTTATAATCATATACATGTGTTATACGTCTAGGATGTAATGTGGTAAGTAATACAATTTTAACGCGTCGAAGAGTTCACGGAAATACAAGATTCGGCACGTTATTAAAATATTTTCATCAGATCACAAATATTAATGTTGTTTTATACTGTTATAAAAAGCTTACTCTTATTGATAAAAAATATATATATAGTAAATAAGTATCGTAGGAAATTTGGATATTAAAAATAACTAGAACTTAGTTTTGCAATTTCACAATTAATCAAAACTAAGTTCTAGTTCATTTTAATGTCCAAATTCCCTACGATACTTATTTATTAATAATTTTATTTTTGTTTGGATAATAGAAATAACTAATTATATATATTTTAAAGTGCTTCCACAAAAGAGATAAGAGAAATAGAAAGAGAAGATAAAAACGTGACCTACCGCAAAGTTGATGAAACAATATGCTAAATGTTAAAATTACAACGGAGATAATTTAACAGCTGTTTAACAACCCGTCATAGTCACTTTTATTAATATGTCGTAACGCGTATGAACCATCCTATCTACATACTTATATTTATACTTATATACACACGTATATATTTATAAATGTATTGCGCGTATAGAAATATACATTGATCATGATATTGAATTTTAAAAAATTCAGATTAAAATTACTTTTTATAAAATATTTATTCTAACGATCAGTTTCTCTAGAAAAAAAAAAAAAAAAAAAGAAAAAAAAGGGGCCAGACATTAGCAACTATATAATTAACTTCAGGATAATGTTTATTTCAAATTTTCCGCTATATAAAATGTAAGAAACGTGACTTATGGATGTATGTAGTATGTTCTCAATCGCGTTGCATGATCCAACAAAAAGGGGTGCATTTTAATGTACCACGTATCCCCTCTACCACCTCCTCCCTCTTTCTCTCTCTCTCTCTTACTCGTGGCCGCTTTAACACTTCATAAATTAATTACGAAACCAAGCGTATGACCTATTAACGAGCGTTTTGTTCTTACGTCTCACACGAATGACCGAAAGATAACGATAGGCCCAACAACACCACATGCACACATTCGCACCTTTTCCTTAGCCCTTTCAGACCTTTTGCTTTATGTGTATTCTCTCTCTCTCTCTCTCTCTTTTTCTCCTTCACTTCGTGGTTTCTTCTTTATCTGAATTTTATCGTTCCTAAATCTACTCGTGACCGTTTAAGAGGTTGAAGGGGTGATCGTACGATATTATCCAAAAGGTTAAACGTTTCGTGTACATATATTTCCAAGCATCTTTATTCGTGGACGCATTGCAGTGGTGGTGTCTATTTATATCATACATATTTCATATTATATTAAATAAAAAATTAATCAAATTCATAGTAAGGTAATATTAATAATGTCTTATAACAAAAAATTGCTACTCGAGATTAAGGGGCACACCTCTAGTGTGACCGCATAAAAACAAAGATGATTTTTAGGATTTTTTTTAAAGAAAATTACTGCATGAAATATTTTAAAATGTAGAGGATATATTTTATACATAATTAACGAATATTCACTCAAATTTTCAAATGAAAAGAGGTAATTTTCAGCGAGTTATTCGTTATCTCCCAAATCACTAAAAAAAAAGGGCTTAAACAAGGCTGCAGTAATTCCGACCTTCACACCGTGGATGAAATAAAAAACAAAAGAAATACTGTTAATCTAGAAGGTATTGTCTATACAATGACCTAAAATTGTGAAAAAAATATTAAAATTTAACAAAATGGCAGACTTTTTAAAAAAAAAAATCGAATTTTGCTTAAAATTTTGATGAGTTTTGGCCCGCCAAAATTACATTTTTGATACAATCGTAAAACTTTTAGGTCATTGTACAGAGAAACATATATGAAATAAGCAGAAAAAAAATCAAAGAGATCGGATGATTTTTCTTCGAGTTACAACTGCAACCAATTTGAAAAATGTAGTTTTGAGAAAAACTCGTTCAAAGATAAAAAAACGGCTACTATTTAGAAGGCTGTAACTCTAAAACTATTGAAAATATTTATTTGAAATTTCAGTATGTTATTCTTAAAGATATAGACTATCAAAATATGCGAAAAAAGAAAAATCAATTTTTTCAAAATTTCACACTAGGTGTGCCCTTTAATTATTGTATTTGATTGAATATTTTTCATTTCATTTTGTTAGGATAATAAAAAAAATGTTGGTCTTCCTTTATTTCGAAAATCTTTCTCAAAGTTAATTTACATTATTTATCTTGAAGTTAACCATGGTAAGGCACGGCATGGTATGGTATGGTATGGCGTCGTTATAGTGCTACTACGACTCTGACTTTCTCTTCTTGGATCTCTTTCTATAACCATGAGAATTTACGTTCTACAGATGAAAATTGTCTTTCGTTATTATACGATAGTTAAATATACATATATATATATACACATATATATAAATAAAGGTATGTGTATTTTGATCTCTTACAAATGAATTTATTTATATTATATAAAATATCAAATAAATATAGTAGAAATAGAAAAAAAAATTTGTTTAATAAAATATACAATGAATGAAAAATCGTTAGAAAATACTTAAATATTGGTATGATATTTTTGTTTATCTACTTGTAAATCAATTCTATATTTGTTAATTTAATTATTTCTTGATTTATTTAACGTATAAAATATAATTTGTTAATTCGTTTTGATATAGCATTAAAGAAGATGCGTGGGTATAATGTTC